GTAAATATTTTTTTCTGCTCACTATCATTTTTTAATACATTTACTTTATTGTGCAAAAATAACCCGATCACTGAATGTATAGAAGATATACTAGTCTATCCAACAGCCAATTTGTACAGAAAAGATCTTACATATTCTATATAGTTTCTTATGTTTTCTTATTCTTTTGATCATGATGAAAGAAATAGCTTAATCCTCCCTACGTTCAAACTTCTTCCCTTAATAAAGAGTGTGTCTGTGTCATCTTCAAAGAGTGGCACATGACACACACTATATTAAGGAAAGAAGTTTGAACGTAGCGAAGATTAAGCTATTTCTTTCATCATGATCAAAAGAATAAGAAAACACATAACAAATTATATAGAACATATATAATGAACAATACGAAATAGTGGTTTATTCATTGTTGATATTAGACAGGTGGATTGCTCACTAACGGGAGAGTTCTTGTATTTTGCTTGCTTCATATCTTGATCCAGAGAACATCATACTTCTACCTTTACAAAACAACATCATCAGACAGTATGTGCAAAGAGCTTTCATTTGATGTGCAGGATGTCAACTAAATCTTTTTTTCCTGGCGAAAAAAAATGTATTCTCATATACTATTGTATAAATATACCGACTAAACAGCATTGATGCCATATCTCAACAACCGCATAGAAGCGCATATCAGAAATGCTATTAATGCAGATCAGGTATATAATGAAAAGCGACGAGTTGTACAGCATAAACAAACCGCTTTTCATCGTTGAATTGAGACGCCAACTTTAAGTACTAAGTTATACCTATTGAGACTCTCCATGTACCGTATTTCATGCCAAAGTAATACCGTATAAAAGCGCGTAAATTAATGATTTTTTTGTCCCATTTATTTGACACAATTATGATGAATTAGAGTTTTCAATTGAAATTTCTGAGATTCATGCAAAAATTGGTAATATCTATGCGAATACAGATTATAATTTTGCATTGGAATACGATAATTTAGCATTTAACCATCTATAATCGCTAATTGAAAGTAATGTTAATCTTGAAATTAAGCGTCACATGTTTCTAATGTTATCTACATTGATTCAAATATTTGAATATAAATAAGTCATGTGTAAAGAAATGTTAGAAGAAATAACATCAATACTTAAGAAATATCGTAAATTATATCTTCAAATGCAATTAAAACAAAGAGCATCCGTTGATATCCTGGAACATAAATTAATCATTAATACTTGTATGGCCGATAAAAGGCTCTCTATGTACTATATTCATACATACACATCAGCGCGTACCTCTATACGGCTAACGACGAATGTAGAAGGCAGAAGAAAAGCGTAAAAGGATTTTTGCCCATGACTCTTGAAGTCTCGGTTTTCTGCAAAACCAGTTTTTGAGAAATTCTAAAAAATAATCAAAACCTTTCATAATGAGGCATAATTATAGCCCGTACATGTGATTAAAATGAGACGTCTGCCAGCTCTACACGACCTTTCTTTACAAAGTTACAGAATTTACAAGAAAAGCCCTAAATGTTCATTGTCAGCTCAAAGCTGCAGAAATAAGAAGGACTTTTCTTGTAAACAGAAAGATCCTCCACCAATTGATAGATTGTACTGAATTCGGCTGTGATTCTAGCAGTTCCTGCTGGCGTGCTACTAGAATTCATGCGGAATTCAACGTATACGATGTAGTAAACAGAAAGCTCTTGTATGAAGTGACACGTTGATTCTGGTAGATTCTGCTGCTGTTCTACTAGAGTTCAAGAAGGTTTCACTGTATGTCATATATTAAACAGAAAATCCTTTACGAATTAACAGATTGTACGAAATTCTACTGGGATTCTGGTTCATGCCAAAGTAATACCGTATAAAAGCGCGTAAATTAATGATTTTTTTTGTCACATTTACGCCTAAATTTTTCGTAGGGATATTCCTGTTTTACATACATTATTGATATAAGCAAGCGTAACGCTACAGCGAAAAGAGGCGTGAAAAGTTCGAATAGGTTTATATCAGTTAATTCTTTTAAAGTTATCACTGAATAAAACGATTAAAATTCATTTTAAATGACGGAAAAGCACTTTTTCATATTCAACACACTCAGTAACCTGGACGATTTTCTATGTTCGGCAAGGCATACTTTCGACAATTTAAGAAAAATTTTTAAACTAGAATTATTTTTCCATTATAATTTATCTGTGCCCTTTTGTTGGAAAATTATTGTTGAACTTTCGAAAGTATGTCTCGCCAAAAATAGAAAATCTTGCATAATTATTTCATTCTTATAAAATTTTTGAATAATAGAATCTCGTAACACAACTCAGCATTATGACTCATGAGTCTTTGTGAGTTAGAAGGCATGAACGTAACCTCATAAATCATAATGCCGATTTGTGCTACGAGATTCTATTATTTCAAAGTTTTTATAAAGATGAAATACTTACTTTCTAACATTTTATGGAGAAATTTACTAATATAGGTGACATAATATGCTTTGTAAACCTCTGAAGTACAGAAGAACTTTTTAAAGATTTTCAGACTTAAGGAGTATTTCTTAAGTCTTAATTACAAATGTCTAATAAAGAAATATGTTCGTTATAGAACATGTCAACAGCATTTCGTTCCATCTCTACAACAACCGTCTAATCGTTCAAAATATGCTCGCATTATTATGTAGGAGCAGAAGAACAAGGTAGATGATAGAATAATCTTGAAAATATTGCCTAGTGTATGTAAAAGCGAAATTAGGCGAACCTTGGCGACCAACTTCAGGGTTAGCACTCTCGAATTAAGCAAGCAACTTACATTGTTGCTCATCGATGAGAGAATTAAATAAAGTGTTTTATACCTACCTGGTACGTTTTTCCGTTTTTCAGAAGTACTAAAAGCGTGCAATTTGTCAACGGTGTATACTCTCTATACACGCTACTAGTGTAGTCAAGTAACTTATAATTAGAAATTTAAAAAAGAGTAGTGTAGACTCAAATAACACTAGGAAGGAATACAGTTATTCATGTTATATGACAAATACTGTAATCATATCGTTCTAGAAACTATACCAGAATTCAAGCAGATTTCACTGTATGTCATATATTAAACAGAAAATCCTTTACGAATTAACAGATTGTACGAAGTTCTACTGGGATTCTGGTAGATTCTGCTGATATTATACTAGAACTCAATCAGAATTCATTGCAAATCATCTTTCAGTTAAAAAGGTCCTCTACGAAGTGGCAGATTCTAGTGAATTCTGGTGTGATTTTGCATTTTCATTTTACAGCAAATATTTTGCTGGCAACTCCGTTACAAGAAAAAGTCCCAAATTTTGAGGTGAATCGATCGAACGTTTTCATAATTTAATCACCATCATATACATGCGGTCTACGCACGCATAATTTTAATTAGAGGTTTTATTTAGCGCTTTCTTTATCTTACGCTTATTTTGAGTACTAAAATCCGTTGAATACAATTTTGATACTTTCAGGTCAAGTAATGGTTTTGTTTTTCCAGATGTTGCAACGTTTGATATACCGGTTCTTGGTTAGCGTGGATCGTCAATTCTGGGCGGTCTATCATTATATCTACGTAGAAGAAAGGTATTCGCTACATATAACAATATTACGAAAAAAGAGCTTCAGGCTATCAATTTTTGAATTCTCCAATATCACGTCATCATAAATCTGTGTTGCAGGCTTTTACATTTTTTTGTAACTGAAACGTGAAAAGCGGGTGGGTGACTGACTGTGAAGGGTTCAGTTTTCAACTGAATAAGTTGATTCACTGTTTTTTCTTCCAGTTGTGCTTTCAAACATCTTACCGTCAATTCTCTCTGCAAGCTTAGCACTTTCTTTAATTTACATATATGTGTGCATATATTGATAAATGTGTAACTGAGCTCATGATCACTTGCAATTTATTTTTAAACCAAAATAAATGAAGAAAACGAATTGTGGTTTTATTGACGATTTGTGTAGTGAAGTATGACTGCAATTCAAAATTTTAACACTTTTGGAAAGAAGTTTATGAATTATGTATCGAATGTTTAAGCCTATCGAAAAGGACTAACTATTTATGTCTATCAATAGAGGGTTGTCCATTAACAAAAGCCATGCAGAAAGGTGCCTAAATACTACATAACTATGGATTAAAGTAACTGTAATGTTTCTACAATTTATGAATAATAGAAACAAAAGAGTCAGAAATCCACTGAGAACGTGCTTAATGTATGGCCTTTAAGTAGGTGATTAGCTGTCATTTGAATTGCTTTAAATAATGATGAATTTTCGTCTGTTAAGCTATCGGCTACAAGTGAAATATGTTCATCTAAGGCTTGCTCATTGTCGTTCCATATGTACGGTTTATCATGATTAATTGGTACTTTAATAATTTCACGTATTCAGTGCCATCCCAAACCGACGGCCAATAGAATATAAGATTTTCTACTTCCTACTCACCTGAGTTTTAGATCTGCATCTATTGCTTTAATTGACTCCGTTTCTACTTAAGTTTTCTGGATGTACTAAACGTCTAAGTGCTTGACTCATAGGTTTTGATAGTGTTAGTTGACAATAAATTTCTTGCATCATACGTATTACCTAATGATTTGCTTCTTAAATCAACACCCTGTACAAATATTAAGAAAGCAATTGAAATTAATTGTTTCATTGTTGATACTTAATGCCGAGCTAAATTAGCTGAGACGTGACCCATTGAATTAATATTTTGATTATATTGTTCAGCATGTGTTGAATATCTATCGGCGATCGAGTTACCAAAAAATAATAAATATGGCATGATTGAATTAGCACATAGTTGTAAACCTTTTACACCCATATTCACTTCTCTCTGAGGATTACTGATTAAACAGTCAGGCAAACCATTACTAAATTCAGATGCTACAATTTGAGCGATTTGAACATCTAAGTGTTTTGATATTAGACCAACAATATATCTTAGACGATCCATTGATGTACTGATATGCTCACCGAAAAAATTTGCACCAGCTGGAATGATAAAAAAAGCAAATACCTTACTTACTTCTTGATATTTTACCTTCAAAAAGCCCTATCAGATCTCGATTTGGATCCAGTAAAATCCCTTCAACTTCAGCAATGGAAGATAGCTAGATTTGCTTAATTTTAAGCTGTTTAGTCCTATTATTAGTAGTGACACTGTAATATAAGAACTTCTGGAACTCTACTATAGTAAGAATACATCAGGCTGACGACTTTGAATCGGCTTTATCATAAAAGAAACAGTCAAATACTAGCGATCGACCAGTGAAAACGGATAATTGGCGAACAATGTTTGATAGAAAAAGAAATTGTCTTCACTGTTTGTTGAATGGGATAGTGCAACGTCAAACATATTACCGTAGGCTTTTTGGTTTTCAACATCAATTAATGGATTATCATTTGCTGAATTAATCTCAACTTCAACAGTACGCGCAATTTGATGTAACATTTCAATAAACGGACCAAGATATTGTGGCATAGCACGGATTGAATAACGATCTTGGATTAACACATTTTGGCGCATGTTGTGCGTGCCATCCAGATGATCATTGATCATCTTAGAATTTGACAATAAATCCAGAATTGTACTGGCAATGAGTTTCTAAATGACAGAATGAAGTGATAAATGCTACAAGTTACAAAAGATTTTAGTTTTATATATACCTGACCATGATGGGGTTTCATTTCATGTAGAAATGGATGAAATGGTTGATTATTACCGTACAGTGCTTGTATAGCTAATGCATGAGCGTGTAATGTTGCAGCAAACAAAATATATAGATCATAAACAGCTATTGTTGCGGAAGCTGTCATCATACTTGTACCATTTATCATTGCTAACCCTTCTTTTGGTTGCAAACTCATTCTTTTTAAATCAACTTGTTCCAATGCATCAATTGCATTCATCTTTTCTCCACGAAAATTTACTTTAAAACTCTTATCTGTACCACATATTGATCCAACAACGTAGGTTAAGGGTACTAAGTCACCGGATGCACCTACAGATCCAAATTCAGGTATAAGTGGCGTTATGTGTTCTTTTATAAATTTGATTAAACGATCTGTTATTTCCATTCTTATGCCTGAAACACCGATTAAATGTGAATTAGCCCGTAATAACATGGCTGCCCTCGCATCTTCCAATGGAACATAGGCTCCAGCACCAGTCTTATGAAAATAAACTAAATTATTTTGTAATTCACTTGCTTGACTAGCTGATATTTGTCGATGTGCCATACCACCAAATAGCGTTGTTACACCATATAATGGTTGAGATTCATCGACAGTTTTACGAATATATTCGCATGAATCTGCCATCTTTTTATGTACACTAATGTCATTTGTTATTTCTACTGGATAATTTTGTCGTACAATCATTATCACTTGTTCAATTGTTAAACCTTTTCCAGATAAAATTATTGGATCAAGTGTTGTTGACATTGATAAGCTGTTGTTTTGTTGTTCACTTGATTCCATTTCAGATGAAATGTCTTCGATATCTGAGTGCCCGATTGTTCTGAATTTGGGTTGTGTCATTGAGAAATAAAGATGGATCTACAAAATGCTATACCGCGTAAAACTTCTAATATTAACCATAATTAAGGAGAATATAACGTTAGTATAAACTTTTTATTTGTTTGAAAGAAGAAAAAGCATAATATACTGAACAAAATCACAGTCAATGATTGCATTATATCGCTCAATATACCATCTTTGTAAAAGAGACAGACAAAGGAAAAACAAACAAAGAAAGAAGACAGATGTAACTACATCAGATAAAGATAGAATTTCGTGTGTGAGTGAGTTTCGGTTGTTGTTGTTTTTTGTGAATGTAACGTCACTTGCAAAAAAAATAAAATAAAACAATGCATATATGTGCATATAAGAGAGCACCGTCCCAATAGTTTAACAAGAAAAGGATAGGTCTACACAGTCTAACTGAATCTTCCCGTGTTGGGCTATGAAGTTACACACTGCATCATAGACAAGTCTAAATTTATTTTCATCTTCAAAGTTAGATCGTAGTAAAAGCGTGTTTAAATCAATTTTATTTTAACATCTTCTTTCTCCAATGTAGTGACAAGGGTCAGTCTAGCCTGATAATAAGCCGTACACTAAAAAAAATAGTGTTTTGAGTCTTCGACTCTCGTGTCAAAACATTGTTGACAGATGTTATTATCGACAAGCTTATGTATCTGTAAATGTGCCCGCAGAGTTGAGAAATCAGTTCTTATTCGACAATAACTTGCTTCTAATTTACGAGAGGCTGACGAGGGAATGATAAAGCAGGGCTTGAGCAGATGAACCTTTAGTTTCTCCCGAAACATTCTAGGCTGCATTTGAACGCAGAGTTGTGGCTGTACAGCAGAGAGAATATTCCAATCATTAACGGCTATCGGAAAAAATGAGTTATTAAAGAAATTACTTTTATCTGCAAAACCAAGCAGCCGATGAGCATGGTTTGATCTTAACTCATAGTGAGTATTAGGAGCCATATAGCGCAAGATCTGATGATTTACGCGATTGAAACCCATGAGGATCTTGAAGAAAATACACATTCTGTTTGTATAAAATATCTGAGAAAATGTTAACCATCCCAAATCCCGAATGACTTTATCTGCTGCCGAACCCTGCATCGCTCCACTAACTGTTAAAGCAATTTGATACTGAACTCTCTCAAGTTTTTTAATATTTACTTGCGTAGTTATAGAGTAAATTTCACTTGCATAATTGATATTAGTCATTATATACGTTTTATACACAGAATCTAATGCATGACGAGACATACTCCATTGTAATAAACGCATGTAGTTGTGAGTGGTAGTTATCTTCCCTATCACGTAATTAATATGCATATCCCAAGATAAATTTGAGCTCAGATGTAACCCTAGATGTTTATGTACAGAAACCTCACGCACAGGATTGTTTTCAATTAACAGTGGTGGCAAATAGAAGCTTTTTGGTAGCGCATGCCTATGAAAGAGCTGAGCATCACATTTATCAGTGTTTAAGTCAATCAGCCAAGTTTTACACCAAAGAGAAACTCTTTCCAAGTCTGCATTTAAAATTTTGGTGGTGTTTTCAATTGAAAAACTATGATGGAATAGTGCAGTGCCGGAAAAGCACTTTTTCATATTCAACACACTTAGTAAGCTGGACGATTTTCTATGTTCGGCAAGGCATACTTTCGACAGTTTAAGAAAAATTTTTAAACTAGAACTATTTTTCCAATATAATTTATCTGTGCCCTGTTGTGGGAAAATTATTGTTGAACTTTCGAAAGTGTGTGTCGTCAAAAATAGAAAATCTTGCATAATTATTTCATTCTTGAGTAAATATTTTTTTCTGCTCACTATCATTTTTTAATACATTTACTTTATTGTGCAAAAATAACCCGATCACTGAATGTATAGAAGATATACTAGTCTATCCAACAGCCAATTTGTACAGAAAAGATCTTACATATTCTATATAGTTTCTTATGTTTTCTTATTCTTTTGATCATGATGAAAGAAATAGCTTAATCCTCCCTACGTTCAAACTTCTTCCCTTAATAAAGAGTGTGTCTGTGTCATCTTCAAAGAGTGGCACATGACACACACTATATTAAGGAAAGAAGTTTGAACGTAGCGAAGATTAAGCTATTTCTTTCATCATGATCAAAAGAATAAGAAAACACATAACAAATTATATAGAACATATATAATGAACAATACGAAATAGTGGTTTATTCATTGTTGATATTAGACAGGTGGATTGCTCACTAACGGGAGAGTTCTTGTATTTTGCTTGCTTCATATCCTGATCCAGAAAACATCATAGTTTCCGTTAATAACTCCTATAGTTTTAAAAAGTATTTGAAAGAAAATTCAGCTATGCATTCAGCGAGTAATTAGGCATATACATGTATTTATGTTTTTCAGAACCACTAAATAGTAACGATATACTCTCAATAAATTTGTTATGCTCATTTTGTTGATAACAAATTTATTGAGAGTATGTCGTTTGGCGAGGCATTCAGTTGGCAACAAACTCCCTCAGAACCTCCCGGACCGAACCTATCCTGTCGATGCAGAAATGATGGCATTAGAAAATAGACACTCTGGGCTATCTAACCATGTGAAAATATCGGCAAATTTAGTATAGCGCGAATATTCAAACTCTTGAAGCATAAACGTGGAGGAAAGGATTATTGAGGCGGTACACTCACTCTTTTTTATAAATTTCTTTTGGTTTTCGATAAAAGTATAGTCCAGTCGAATATTGATATGTATAAGTATGTTGATGCATATTCGATCATTACTCAATGTTTTGCTGGGCTATAGCATTAAAACGTTAACTGGCGGTTGATGTGTGAGAATAAATTCAGAGAACTGTCTTTTACTTAGGGCATACCAAAAGTAGTGGCAGTGGTATTTTTATCCCTTATAGAAAGGTTAAAGAAACTTTCTTTTTATATAGTCTGATAGAGAAAAGAATGTTCTATTTTTCTATGCTATTTGATCAT